ACTATAAAGCTTAGCGATATGAGAGCGGCGGCTTTGTGCGACAAGCATGCAAAATGTATTTTATCTTTTTTATTTATTCATTCATATATAAATTAAGTCTTTATTCAGTTTTGTTTCTTTATAATTACTTATATAAATTACTCAATAAAGATATGAGCAAGGCCTCACCTTTTAACATTAAAAAAATATATATATATTATTAGTATAAGTATTAATAAAGTGTTAAAACTACTATAGCATATATAGTAGTAAAAGATAAACAAGATAATATCAAAGATTATACATGTCTCTTAACTCCTCCAATACAACTCTCAACTTCCTCAACATGTTCTTCAACTCTTGCAATACAAACCTTCAACTTTCTCAACTCTTTCTATTCTCTCAACATGGCTATAAATGGGGGTGAAATTAATTTTTGATTTTTTAATTTCAATAACAACATTTTTAATATTTTTATAAATTAAATATTAAATAACTATTTTATTTAATTTAGCTTAGTTTCAATTAATTTTTGATATAATTTAAATTAATTTTTAGTATTGAAAAACTAATTTCACCTATTTCACTAATCAATAATTTCAACTATTTCAACAAAAACTTTTTATTAAGAAGAGTAATTTTACCCCTATCTATAAACATGGCCCTCAACTTTCTTGAGCATATGTTATAATACCTTCAACTCTCTTTTTTATTCTATAAAAGATATATAAAAGATGTATTTGCCCTTCTGCCCAGTATAAAGTTCTTACCTCTTTTTTTCATAAAATTAGTCTAGTAAATTTCCTTTTTTGTAATATATAACTCTCTCTAAAATCTCTAGATGAGGTTATCCTCTTGTCCTATAATAAATAAAGGTTAAAAATACACTATTCTAATACCAAACTGTTTGCCTTCTGCTATGTATATCTAAGTGTATTCCATATTCACCCCATGTATATTCTAATAGCAGGATTCCTGCACTGAGTAACCTTGTTACTATGATATGTGGTTACAAAAAGGCCATAGCATTGTAACAATAGTATTTAATATCCTGTAGGTTGATAGCATAGTAGTTATGCTCCCAGGTTGCAAATTGGACAGTTGCTGGTTCAATTTCTCCCAGTGGCAAAATAATGAAAAACCCAAATATGAAAGTGAAACACCGCATAGTACAGAGAACTCGGGACATCTACGGATGGACATATTCGAGGAATAGTTATTCCGAGAAGTTGTGACTATAAAGCAAGGCGTGTTAGAACTAGAGACCTGCAAATTCCTAATTTTAAGGCCCGGGCCCAGCCCGCAATTAGGGTTACAAAATTTTTGCCAGCCCAGGTCCACCCGCAATTAAAAATATTTTGTCAAGCCCGGCCCGCAAATTTTTAATATAAATTTTTTAAAATTTTGGCCTGGCCTAGCCCACGATTATAAAAATTTTTTTTAGGCCCACTCAGGCCCGCATACCAGGCTGGGCAGACGCAGGCCAGGCTGGGCTTTGGGACCCAATGCAGGCCTCTAGTTAGAACCTCGATTTGGAATAACCGAAGTCATGAGACGTACTGTGAGGCCAAAGTCTAAGAAGATACTACAAGAACTCGTGGCACTACCAGATTGGCTGGTGAAATTCTGGTCCAATATTAAGGTGTTTCGACCTCTCCGGAGTGTCGTGCAGGCAGTCGGATCTAGGCCCCAATGAGGGAACCGGAGAAATGTCGAGCAATAAATACCAGGTGGATATACATGATTCCCATATGGGAATTATGAAGGTCCTGTGACACTAGTAGCGTAGGGTCAACTATAAAGATAGCTAGACCAAGTAACGACTAGACTTGCCAAAGTAATAAAAAAAAAAATAGTATTTAATATAGTTATTAAATTGTTAAAGATTTAAAAGATATTTAAATAATAAACTAAAAAGTAAAAATATAAAATAGTTTAAATAGTTATAAAAATAAACTAAAGAGTTTAGTACAAAACCTTTGAGTATAAAGTAAAGTAAAAAAGAATATATAGTAATAAGAATAGTAAAAAGTTAAATAAAATTAAGCTAATTTATAAATAGAAGTTGAAAATTATAATTACAGTATATTATATTGTAATTATTTTTTAATTTACAAACAAATTTGCCTAGATTACAAATTAAAATTTAATAATTTTACTTTATTTAAAAAAATTCATATTATTGTAAAATTAATATTTGTAATTAATATTTGTAATAAATTATAATAAATATCAAATTAAAATAAATATTAAACCAGCTAGCCTAAACAAATAAAATTTGTACAATAAAAAAAAAAATAAATTAAAAAAATATTTATTTTAAAATTTAAATATATTGGTATTTTTACAAACTTAAATACTGTAACAATTATATCCTAAATATCTGTAAAATCTTGAACTGTTGGGTAATTTTGTTGAATCTAAAGCGTTGCAAAAAAAAAAAAAAAACTCATGAAATTATTCTTTTATTGAAAATATAGAAAAAAAAATCCAAAAGTCCAAGGAGCTTCAGATTTCTGTCAATAACACCATATTACGGATGATGGTTTATAGCGCTAATTAAAAACTTTAATGCTAATTAAAATATTGTATCACTTCTCATTTGATCTAATTCCATTATTTGAGTACATCGCTTACGCACTATAATGATATAAAGTATATTTAATGTTACACAAAGTATGGCTCAATATATATACAAAAAAAAACAACTTTTTGTAATGATCAAAAGCTTATGCGTGAATTATTATCATTATAAGAAATCGATCAGCCGATTTTGAAAAAAATCGGCTGGCTAAGCTTTAGCCGATTTTTTCATTATTGGCCAGGAAACTAGTCTATTATAGCCTGAATTAGATAGATATTAAAAAAAAGTTAAAACAAACGAAAATATTATTATTAAAAAATATATATATTGTATATCAAAAATTGACTTACTCGCTGAATGCATAATAGTAGTGTAACATTAAAAGTAGTTAACAAAGGATTTAGGTTTTGAAAGACAAAGTCATTCAGACAGTAAAAAAAAAAGGGAAAAATAGATAGATAGATAAATAAATAAATAAACAGTAATATTCTACTAAACCAAGACTATAACAAAAAAAAAGGGTCAATGGATTTTATTGTTCATACGCACGTAAAAATAAAAAGATTATTAGTAGCGGCAACAGCGATCGAATTTTCATTTGGATGCCATGAAGCATGAAGAATTTTCTTATTGAAATCGATAGCATCCACATTAATCTCTTCTTTCTTGTTATTTTTTCCACGAAGTATTTTATTACTCTTTGGTGATACGACACGTTTCGCCTTAAACGCACTCTTATCAGCCTGCAGAGCAACATCAGTTAGACCTTCCCGATCATAAATATGGAAATAATTATTATATGAACCAGTCAAGACATTTCTATAGCATTTAAAAAGGTTAAAAAAATGATTATACATAATAATAACAAATACAAATTAAAGCAACATACTGGCCATCCCCGCTAAATGTACACTCAAACTTGTCAAAAATACAATCATTCTCGTAAAGGTCACAAAGCTTATTTCGTAAATGATCGTGAATATTGATTGTTTTCAGTGGTCGATTTTCCATGGTTATATCCCAAATTTTAAGGGTCAAATAATCACGCGAGAGGATATATCGACCATCTTTACTGAATTTCACATCAGAAATAGATGAAATAATTTCCGAGAAAAATGACTTATTTGCTGGATCCTCTTGTTCTTCGAACACTTAAAATGAAAAAATGGTAGATAATTTTGTAAATATAGACATGATTATAGAATGATAAATAAAAAAGATAAAATACATTTTGCATGCTTGTCGCACAAAGCCGCCGCTCTCATATCGCTAAGCTTTATAGT